AGACTCTTTGCTTTTGCATTGGACTGGCTGGCTCCCTGGTGGCCTCTTGGGAACCTTGAAATCTGGGCATAACAAAGGGTTCTACATAATAAGCAATATTACTTAAACCAAATTGCAAAACATCTGCCATTTCAACATACCTTTTCAAACATTTGTTACTCTTAAAACCATTATAACCTGGACACACCTCAAATAGCCAAGGGCTATGCAATGTATCTCCCAGTAGCAGTTTGTGAGGAACAAAAATCTAGATAACCCCTACTTGCCTTGGCAGCAATATGCCCACCAGGCACTTTTCTGAACCTTTGAAAACCTGACTTACAAGCTAACTAACAGGTAATATAAGTAATGTAAGCGTAAATTCAAATGCAAGTAGGTTTTGTTTCTTTTAAGGAATTTGTTTGGGAAATAAGAGCTGTTCATCTGTGTGGTATTAGCTTTACACAAAATTATCACACTATAGAATATGAAAGCCCTGAAGTCTGAAGTCTAAAAGAAACATACTCATGAAAATAAAGTAAAACAAAGCAGGTTGTTTTCAACCACTCAGCTAGGTTTGTTTATCATCACTATTTCTATCAGTATTAACAGCTTAAAAATTATAATTACGAAGGATTTTCACATTATCTCTCAGTGTTATTTCTCCATTCCACAGATAAGGAAACTAAGACTTAAGAATGCTTCTCTAACTTAAAGACAGTATTCACATATAACTTCCTGATTCTAGATATTCAAATAAATTTCCCCATCCTTCTCACTCTACAACCTTTTGTTGTTTTTTTGTGGATTTCACTGTGAAATATGCATGCCTAAATTTTGTATGAATATACACAGCACAATCTTTTTCAAATTATGCTAACACATTTTAATTGTTAAAACTACTTCCTGATATCATACAAGCAAAGATTATGACTTTTTAATACGGTATCTTTCAGTCATTTAAGACATCAGTTTCTTAGTTATAAATTTCATGAGACATACACTTCCTCTGTCCTTTTTTACTTCTTTCTACGACTTGTTCAGCATCCTGAAGTCCTTCTATAAATGCAGAAGACAATCTCAATATTTTCCTTAGACTAGGGTTATTCAACAAACATTCCAGGCTAGATAATTCTTTGTCCTGGGTTCTACCCACCAGTAGCACACTTCCACCGCTTATTGTGACAACCAAAAAATGCCTCCGACATTGCCTAATTTACCCTTGGGGGCAAAGTCACCCCTGGTTGAAAATCTCTGCCTTGTCCTAGTCATATACTCCAGTGAAGAAGTATCAATTTACCATTTTATCCAAAGATTGGTAGGTTCACCTGTGTGAAATTTTCCAGATTTAATTCTTTCCTTTCTCAAGATGTTAAAATTTAACCAGAAAAAAAACTGAAAAAGCCAAACTTTATGACATATAAAACTTATTTGCTAAAGCAAGTAGTTTTCAAATAAGATATACAAATATCATTTCTTTATAAAACTTGTCTATAACATGGACATATAAAGGTCAGCTATTTTATTGAATTGACTTAATATTTCCATTTATTTTCCATAAAAAGTTGAAGATAGCCCTGACAGGTTTGGCTCAGTGGATAGAGCGTCGGCCTGCGGACTGAAGGGTCCCAGGTTCAATTCCAGTCAAAGGCATGTACCTTGGTTGCAGGCACATCCCCAGTAGGAGGTAAATTTCTTCAAAAATATTTATTTTAAAGACTAGAAACAGCCAACTCACATATTTTGTCTTTTTATTTTAATGGAGGAATTGGTATTAAAATAAAATATTCTGAGCAATAACTGTAAAAGCTCGTGTCTTCTAACTTCCTTTATAACAACCACAAAAATAAAAGGCAGCAAAACATTACAGAAGTGAGCTGATAACGCTGATGGAATCCATATTGGACTTCCACTGGACATAATTCCTATTTAAAAAAAAAAAAAAAAAAAAAAGGGTTTATCTGCTCAGGCATATTATAAAGTTGATGTTGGCCATCGGCAGAAGACCTTATTCTAAAAGCAAGAAAATGAGATGAAAGAAAAAAGTCTCTTTTCCTACATACCGCCAAAAAAACGGAGTAAAAGAAACAAAATTATGGCATTTTAATTTCAATTGTGAAAACGTTCAAAATGGTCAGGCAGTATACTTCAAATTTTCACAGTAAAAACATTTACATTAGAATTAGAGTATTAGCACTGGAAGGACCCTTAGATGTTACCTACTCCAATCCCTAATTTTAAGGAGAGAATAAAAGAATTTTCTAATATATCCATAAACTTTATTTCTTTAAAAAATATTGTCTGAGATAAATAAGGCACAATGTTATAACCTGGGTAAGTGATTTTGAATAGTAATTATATGTGATATTATGTGGTATGACTTTTTTCTATTAAAGTTTAAATTCAGATGAAGAAACCAAGGACCAGTAAAGTAACTGGCTTGTCCAACACAACACCTAGAATCCAGATTTCCTAAATGCTAGCCCAGTGCCTTTTCAGATTTCAAATGTTTACAAACTAGAAGGAATCATTTGAATTATTAGATAGTATTCTAAAGAAACACTTGGTCCCTGCAGAATGCACTGTACATTTCATTCCTTAAATGTCTCCTTCTTTACTTAGAGCATGTGAACAAAGTACATATTGGGCAAACCACACCGAACCAATCAACTGATCAGTAACCCATTAAAAGCAGGTGGTGCCACACTTCAGGGCAGCATTCCATGGCTCTATTAACAACAATGCTCAATATAAATATACTAGTGACCCAGTGCGTGAATTCGTGCACATTAAAAGGAAATTAATTAGAAATACTCTAATATCGCTATTCATCCTTTCTCTATATAGAAGTGTCAACAAAATTCATGATGAACAATGACAGATCGAAACACACGCATGTGATTGGCGCCAGCGAGAGTTTTATGTATCGCACACGCATGAGTCAACTTAGCCTTTTATAGATATAGAATAAACTTCCTTAATTAGACCTGCTTCCTTAATTAGACCTGATTTAGCTAAACTTTTTCCAGCCCAGTGAAGCACCCCAACTTCTCTTTCAGGTAATTGTCAGCAACACAGCAGTAAATATCAACACAAAGCAGATTATTATTTTAGATCATACAGGGAAAACAAAGGGTAAAATATTTAACTGCAGCAGTGTTTGACTATATTCTGCGCAGTGAGAAAACCTGAAGTAATTTTTCAAGGTCCACCATTTCTTACTTCTTTTCAGCCAGGTCAAGCTTTAATGAAAAGAAAATAAGCCGAAACCGGTTTGGCTCAGTGGATAGAGCGTCGGCCTGCGGACTGAAAGGTCCCGGGTTCGACTCCGGTCAAGGGCATGTACCTGGGTTGCAGCATATCCCCAGTAGGAGATGTGCAGGAGGCAGCTGATCGATGTTTCTCTCTCATCGATGTTTCTAGCTCTCTGTCTCTCTCCCTTCCTCTCTGTAAAAAAATCAATAAAATATATTTAAAAAAAAAAAAAAGAAAGAAAAGAAAAGAAAATAGGATTCCACCGAGTCTCCTATCTACCTACTCCAGGACTTCTGTGAGGATCAAATGCTATGAGGCATGGGAAAACACTTCACAGTCATTGGGTTAAAATGTAAAATGTTTCCACCTTGCAAGTCATATTCCTGGGCTGAAAAAACTGCAAGGAGGCTAGTCGCTAGGGAGAGGAAGCCGGGCGTTGCTACGTGATGTCATTACCTGGAGGGACACTTAGCACATCAGCCTTTTATATATATAGACAGATAAGGTGGTTCACGTATGTAATTGCAGTTAACCCTTGAGCAAGGCAGATTTTAAAAATCCAAGTATAAGTGAACCCACATGGTTCAAACATGCTCAAGGGCCAGGGTTTTGCTTTTTAAGTAAAAAGCAAATCAGGATAAATTTTAATATATTGTATTTAATCCAATATAATAAAATATTATCATTTCAACATGTAATCAACATAAAAATTGAGATATTACCTTCTCCCTCCTATTTTCTCAAAACTTGGTGAGTATTTTATACTTACAGCACTAACCACATTGCAAGTGCTCAATAGCCAGTTTGTTGAGTGAATTAAAAGCAGCTCCATCCTTTTGAGTAATTCTCTGATTTCCCTCCAAGCCTGACAAAAATTCCCAAAACTCTTCATAGAGCTAGAAACTATCCCCAATGACCCCAAGGCTTGACGCATCATTAGGGCAAATAATTAAGCTTTTTGAAGAGGGTGCTGTCTACTTCTATACACAACCCCTAGGACAGAAAGGTCGGCGTACATTCTTGGTCATGCACCTAATTAATGAGGATGCTGGTCGTGGCTTGCCTTCCTTTCCATCGCTACAAAACAAAACTGAAAGTCCTCCCCTTACTGGGGGAAAAGTAAATACGAAGGAAAGAAATCACTTGCTCGGAAGCTGACAGTATTAGGAGCAAGAAGCCCTAGTGACACGCCTTTTGCAATGATCTTCCCCTGCCCATACCTTCCCAAACCCTGCAATCCAGAGAAGAAAGCCAGCTCCTGGTCGGCTATAGAATGCCAGAGAAGATAAATGCGAAATGCAATTTTCCTTTTCTTTTTCCTTGATGCCACTTTATTTGAGCGTGTGCGACCATGCAACCATCATCACTTCACGTGATGCGGGAGCAGAAAAGGGTGTTTTGTTTGTTTGTTTGTTTTTTTATGCTATGGAGCCACAGGGGCCACGCTGAGGGCTGCGAGGGGAGCCCCCCAAGGGAGGCAGTGGGGGACAGGGCAAGGGCTCGGGCCGCTGAGACCCGGGCAGCGCGAGCGCCACCGGCCGCATCCCCCACCCCCGGCCGGTCCCGGCACCTAGGGGAGGTGCAGGCGGGCACCGGTCTCCCGGCGCCTCGCACCTGCCGGCGGGGAGGGGGGCCCGCGCGAGCGCCCTCCCCGGAGGCGGGGTCTCGGCAGCGAAGGGAGCAGGGCCCGGGCCGGACTGGCGCGGAGCCCGCAGCGTGGGCCCCTCGGCCCCGCCCGCACCCGCCGGCCGCGCCCTCTCGCTTACCGCCCCAGATGCCCAGCTTCAGCTGGGACTTGTCCAGGTTCTCCACATAGTCCCCCAGGAAGCGGTTCAGCAGGTCCGCGACCACCGACTCCAGCACCATGGTGGGGCCGAGCGGCGGGGAGGAGGAGCCGGAACCGCGGGGCGCAGCGAAGGGCGGCGCCGCGCGCGGCGAATGACAGCCCCTCCGGCGCCGGCCCGCCCCCGCCGCACGCGTGACCCGGCCTGTGCGCAGGCGCGCCGCCGCCCGGGCCCGAAGGTGTGCGGCCCCGGCCCCGAACCTCGCCGCCGCGTGCAGCCCTGCACACTGACGAGACGGAGAAGATGTTAATGAGAGTGAGGGCAGGAGTTACTGAGCGCGCGGGCTTCCGTGTGGCTGCTCTGCTGGCCCGCCGTCGTCGGCTGTGGATCTCGGGGCCGCAGAGCTCAGCCATCTCCGGGGAAAGCAGCTGCGCGGGGCCGGCCCCACTGCGCGGCGCTTTCCAGACCCGGAGTCCACCCAGTGCACCTCCTAAGCAGCCACCCCCTCCCCGCTCCGGGTGGAGACTAGGAGGCTGCGCACCCCAGTTCTGCTACCTGTCAACTCCGCCTGGGGCAAGGTCTCCGTTTCTTTTCGCTTCCCGAAAACATACTTGAATCATTTAGAAATGGGTGGGGTAGGAACAGAATTGCATCATCAGATGGTAGATAGAATGGGAACTGAACATGCATGTTGTTCTTAACCCATTCTTTTGCTCGCTTCTGTGTTTGATTCATTCTTTTAACTCGGAGGCACTTCTTACCTACCTCATTAAGAAAACAACAAAAACGTGGTACTTTTTTTGTTTCTATGTGGCTTACATGTTATTAATATATCACTTTCTTCCATCCTGTCATTGAACTGTCTCTGGTTCAATGTCTTGCTACATTGAGAGTAGGGCTTTTATAATTCAAGGGCTTTTTATGTTAGGGAAATTTACCCGTGGACAAACCAATTCTGTTGAGAGACCTGGACTTTTTTTCTAAAATATATTTCAAAAAGCTGTGGAGATACAGTAAAGGAGTAAACCTCAGAAATGGTGGGTTAGTTGTAGTCCTCAGCATTTATTAAATGCTTTGCTACACATTACTTCTGAAAAACTGTGTGAATTGTTCTTAAACAACTGCTATAGACTGTGTCCTCCCAAAATGCATACATTGAAATCCTACCCCCCAATATGATGATATTAGGGTGGTGGGGCCTTTGGGGGGTAATTGGGTAATTAAGCAGAGCCCTCTGAATTGAAGGTACCTGATAAAAGTGAGGCAGAGAGCTCCTTCCCCCATCTGCCATGTGAAGAAATAGCAAGAAGATAACCATCTATGAACCAGGAAGTGGGCCCCCACTGGACTGAATTGGCTGGCACCTTGATCTTGGTCCTCCCAGCCTCCAGAAATGTGAGAGATAAATTTGCATTGTTTTTAAACTACCCCGTCTATGATACTTTGTTAGAGCAGCCTAAAAGGACTAAAATAGGATCAAAAAGAAAAAGATGTCTTAAGTTCAAAGTCTACTGAAGAAGAAAATAGAAAGTCAAATGTCTATAATTGGTTATATGTAAAAGTGATAGAAAAGAAAAAAACCAATACTAATCAGTACTATCAATACCCATCTTAACCCTCCATTCCTTCACACAGAAAATGAATTCTTAACCATTTGTTTTTCTTATCTCAGTCACCCTGACAAAATACGTAGGAGGCACTTAGCACGTCTTTCCATCACCATCCACAATGAACTAATAGCCAAACCTGTCCGTTTTGCTTTTGCCATATTTCCTAAATTCTCTTTATGTCTCACCTGGATCATTCAATCACCTAACTGGCTTCCTCGCCTTCAGTTTTCCCCTTCATCCATCTGCACACCGCCACAGAAGCTGTTTTCCCAAAGCACAAGTGAGCACAGGTTAGTCACCATATCAAAAGCACCCAATAACTTTACAATGTTCAGAAAGCCTTCCTCAATCTGTCCCCAAGTTGTTCCTAGTCCACACGCCCTCTTCCAACAATCCCTCTCTCCTTATACACTCCCACCAACTATGCACTGAGGGGAATATAAAAAAAAAATTAAATTCTGATTAGGATAGCCTCATTCATCATAAAAAGTTTGAATAACAAAGATAAAAGATTCCAAGGACAGAATAGCAAGGTCAAGTGAATGGAACAGAGGTTAGATCTGGTTGGAGAAATGGACAATACTAATCCTTCTCTAATAATTCCTTGTTTTTCTATACTTTTGAAAGAATAATGCATATGGGTGCTTTTATATGCATTATTCCATTTTATTAATACTTCTTCAGTTATACCTCATGAGCTATCATGCCATTATTATGCCAAGGTATGCACTTTCATATAATCATCATAAAAGATTTGTAAGATAAGTAATGCAGGTTGTAGGGTTGTCTCCATCTTATAGTAAAATTAAGGTCAGGAATATTAAATTACTTAACCCAAAATTACACAGCAGGTATTCATTTCCTCCAGCTCCCTGAGCATTGCCACCCTCTTCTCTTTCAATAGTTAGTTAAATCACCATTAGGCTACTAGTACTTCTCGGAGATCTTCCTTTAAAAGGTTAATGACAGAATAGAAAATCTCAGTGGAAAATTCAAAATTGTCAGCATAAATACTATTACCATATAGTATTAACACTTTTAAATTTTAATATTTTTCTTTTTAAATATGTTTTGTGCACACAGTAATGCCCCAAATTTTCCATACTTCTTGGAGAAGAAATTTACAGTCCTTATCCAAAACAAACTATAATGTCAGGAAACACCACTAGCACATTAATGTAAAGAACAATACCCAAAGGAATTTAGATACAGAGGTTAGGTAAAGAAAAGGAACATTCTAGTACTTATAGTTCTTAAAGTAATTCTGACTAAGAACAATGAGAAGGCCCTGGCCAACTAGCACAGTTGGTTAGAGGATCATCCTGGTACACCAAGGTTGTAGGTTCAATCCCCGGTCAGGGCAAATACAAAATCAACCAATGAATGCATAAATAAGTGGTACAACGAATCTCTCAATCTCAATATGTCTCTCTCTCTCTCAAGTAAATAAGTAAAAAAATTTTTTAAAAAAGAGGACCAAGAAAGGCAATTGCAAAAGTAACTTGCAATGAGAGATTAGGCAATAAGCACAGATGTACAAAACATTTTTTTTCTGTTAAAAACAAGAATTAAAATGAGTGACACTTTAAAAAATAACTACTCTTATGGAAACTAAAAAAAAAAAAGAAAAAATACAAAACAGGTGGTGAAGGCCTGGGGCAAGGGATGGGGTAGGCTATAAGGGGTCAATGGGGGGGAAGGGAGACATATATGTATAATACTTTCAACAATAAATACTTTATAAAATACAGAAGATCACTGAAACCAAAAGATGGTTCATTGAAAGAACTGATGAACCTTTAGCCAGACTCATCGAGAAACAAAGAGAGAGGACCCAAATAAATAAAATCAGAGGGTGAAAGAGGACCGGTAACAACTGACGTCACAGAAATACAAATGATTGTAAGAAAATATTACCAAAAAAATAAACTGTATGCCAACAAAATAGGCAACCTGGGCGAAATGGACAAATTCCTAGAATCTTCCAAAACTGAATCAGGAAGAAGTAGAACATCTAAATAGACCAATAACAACTAATGAAATTGAAGCAGTAATAAAAAAAAAAATTAAAAAAAAAAAACTCCCAGCAAACAAAAGTTCTGGACCACATGGCTTCACAGGCGAATTTTACCAAACATTCAAAGAACTAACACCTATCCTCAAACTATTCCAAAAAATTCAAGAGGAGGGAAGACTTCCAAGTTCTTTTTACAAGGGCAACATTATCCTAATACAAAAGCCAGATAAAGACACAACAAAGGAAGAAAATGATAGACCAATATCCCTGATGAACATAGATGCTAAAATCCTCAACAAAATATTAGCAAATTGGATCCATCAATATATTTAAAAAGATCACACACCGTGATGCAAGGTTGGTAAAATATTTGCAAAGCAATAAATGTGACACATCAAATAAACAAAATGAAAGATAAAAATTACATGATCATATCAATAGCTGCAGAAAAAGCATTCGATAAAATACAGCACCCATTTATGATAAAAACTCTCAGCAAAGTGGGAATAAAGGGGTCACACCTCTACATAATAAAAGCTATATATGGAAAACCTACAGCCAACATCATACTCAATGCGCAAAAACTAAAAGCATTTTCCTTAAGATCAGGAACAAGAAAGGGATGTCTCCTTTCACCATTCTCATTCAACATAGTACTGAAAGTGCTAGCCATAGGGATGAGACAAGAAGAAGAAATAAAAGGCATCCAAATTGGAAAGGAGAAAGTAAAACTGTCATTATTTGCAGATGACATAATATTGTATGTAGGAAAACCTAAAGGCACCAGCAAAAAAACCACTAACTCAGAAATGGATGGCATTTCAAAAATAAAAAATATAAATAAATAATAACAACTCTTGCTTAAAAATAGAAAAATAGAAATTCTAACTTCACACTACCCCTTACCTACGATCCATTCCCCAACCCTGGAGTTTATTAAGAAAAGCAAAAGGAATTTCGGGAAAAAAGAAAACAGAAATACTGAAGAAAGCTAGAGAATAAGATTACACCATGGACAGTCGGAGAAGTTAGGAAGGTTAAGTGGCAGAAAGCATTGGAGTGGATTGCAAAGTGGTAGAGCCAGGGGAAAACAAATCATCTGGCTAATTCAACCCTCTTATTTGACAGATGGAAACACTGAACAGAGGAGGGAATTAAGGGACATGCCAAAGTTCCACAAGTCAGTGACCGTCAGAGCTAAAACCCAAGTGTCCTGACTTCTGGTCTGCATTCTTTCCATTACTCCATCCTCTAATTCTGTTGAATGATAGATAAATCAGAATAGATAGATAGATAAATAGAATAGCAGTATTTTATTTGGTTGTAAAGTCTTCTTCTTGCTTTCCTTGGCATCCAAACTCTTATACTCATATCCTATATAATAATAGAGGAATATGCAAATTAGCTAGGAGCCCTCATGGGTAATGACCCGCAGGAGCAGGTGGGCGTGGCGGGGACGTGAGGCTGTGTCAAAAAATAAATAAATAAATAAATAATGCGTTCACATGCCCTAAAGCACAAACATCCCAGCAGATAACTCAATGCAGGCTATTGTGTAATCACAATGATTACATAATATTGATTACACAATAAACTTATTTTCACTGAAAAAAAATTAACATCTTCATTTAAACATGCCCCAGTAAGGCTGCTGAGGCTTTCATCTGTCCCCTTCTACACCGAAGACGACAGGGTTCAAGGAGGAAGGGCTCCAGTTTCGTTTTCTCAACACCCAGCTAGGAGGCCTCCCTGGGGCGGCTCTCCACGCAGGACATGCGCTCCGCTAGGACCCAGGAGCCCCAAAGGGAGGCGGAGCGAACTGCTTTCCCTCCAGGACCCGGTTCTCCCCGGGAGTCCTGTGCAGAGGGCGCTCTTCCTGGGAACCCA